AAATCAAAGGCGGAGGTTTTTCGCAAGTTTCGGCCTCTATAGGGGCCCTCGCCGGGCCTCGGGACCGTCAGGAAGCGATTCAGGGTGAAAAGCCAGTCCCGGGGAATGGGTCCAGACCGGTGGGGGCCGACGTCATGAACAAATCATGTCGTCGGGGGTCTGGGGATGCAGCAGGCGTCGGTCGGGGGCGGCAAAGAGGGGGGTGATGACTAGGAGGGTGGATATCATGGCGTGGGCCATGATATTTCCCCAGATTTCATGGCGCCTCTTCTTGTTTCATTGCGTCCCTGCCCTCCCCCCCTGGGCCGCGCACATGCCGCCGGCCATGATTTGCACCCCGAAGGCCCCTCTTGGACGCCCCCCTCTTGGCCGCCCCCGAGTCGGGGGGCGTGTCGAGGAGGGGGTCAAGGGAGGAAAGACCACCCGGACCTGATGATGGGCGTTTCCTAAACGGCCCTGGACGTTTACTGAACTTGGCGTCACCCCAACATACTTATACTATATGTGCGTCGCTCCCCCGGAGGCGATGCGCGCACCGACAAATTTTATAGTATATGCGTCGTGGCGGGCGCTTTCTGGCCACACCTCTCGGGAAACGACATACTACAAGATGGGTGTACTGCATGTTCGGATCGGACGCGCGCCTCCAGTAGTATTAGTATGTCTCTGTGCGTCCCATAAACAGCCTTGCCCTGTTCGGTTCCTTCTGTGGGCGCGTTTGCTAAACGACTTCGCGTGTCGGGGTGGTTACTATGGGGGTGGATTTTTTGACCGCTAGGGGAGGGGAGTGATGACCAGACAAGGCCAGGACGAGGACGGCCCCGGGTGAGGGCAACTCTCCATGCCTCATGGGGTCGGAGCAGGTGGGGGCGGAGGATCGCGCCGCATCGCCGATTCATCGCCGATGCATCGCCGATGCATCGCCGATGCAGCTCGATGCGGATCCCGTTTTTTTCCCACGCCGACGTCGCCGATGCATCGGCGGCGTCGCCGATGCATCGCCGATGCATCGCCGATGCGGCACGATCCTCCGACCCCATACAGGAGGCTTGTAAAATCGAGAATACGTGAGATCCCGCGGCTCTGGAGGATGCGTCGGATGCCGCGGCCTTCTCGGAGCGTTCCGCTCTGGAGCGGATTTGACCCTCGTCTCAGCCCCGTCCGAGGAGGGGGGGGATTCGGTAGCACATCATGGGATCCTTGTATGCCCTCGTAGTTCCGCCTTTAGAGCGCACTGGCGTCGATTAGCTTCTGGTAGTCGACGAAACAGCGCTGTTTTAGCGTCGATTTAGCGTCGACTCGCGTCGATCAGCGTCGATTCGCAAGAGCCAACAGGATGGTACGGGAGGCTCCCATGAGTCGCAACAGAAGGGTGAGGACCAGTGGAGGAGGGTTGACCTCGTGTGTGGGCCGTGACACTTCCCGGGATCGCATGGCCCTTTGCTAGGTTCTTCTTGGAAGCATTTTCCCGGGATCGCATGGCCCTTTGTTATGTTCTTCTTGGAAGCATGTCTTTTGGCCACCTGCCTGCCCCTGGACCGCGTACGTGCCTCGGGCTTTCATTTGCAACCCCCCCCTCTTGGACGCCCCCCCTTACGGACGCCTCCCAATGTCGCGGGATTGTGTCGATGCCGATCTTGGTCATCGCCCATTCCAGCCCCCGCCGACTCGCGATGATGGGCTACGAATTGACGATGACCATGGCCGATGAACGATGTTCTGCAGCGAGCAAATGCATGACTTATCTTAGGTACCGAGTGAAATTATGCGTTGCACAAGTGCTTGTAACATGACCAGCCTGGCGGACCCGGGGGGGCCGCATTCATGTACGTGGTTGGGCGCGTTTTTGTTTCTGGGGTTCCCGAGATGTCCCAGGATCATGGCGAAGCCGATGTTGGTCATGGTCCATGCGGGCCGTCGCCGGTTCGCGATAAGCGCCCGCGGGTTGATGATGGCCAAGATGGGCAACAGCAACGATCATCACTGCCACTTCTGAACGACGAAGACCTGTATTCTGAGTGCCTCAATAGTTTTGGGGTGACCAATAGTCGGGGAGGAGGGACCTGCAGTCAGGGGGGGGTCCCTGTAGTCCGGGGGGGGTGGGGTCCCGATAGTCCGGGGGGGGGGGGCCTCGTAGGTCCAGGGGGGCCCCTTGCAGTTTGGGGGGGGGGCGGGGTCCCCTGTAGTCCAGGGGGGTGGCCCTGTAGTCCGGGGGCCCGAATTTATCGAGGCACTCAGAGTGCAGTCAAGACGCTGATAATTTGCGGCGCGCAGAGGGGGGTAGGGGGAGGGGGAAGGCTGGGAAGGCTTCTTAGAAGCGTCCCTGCTTCTCTTAGAAGGGCCCGGGCCTTGTCTGTAGATGTAAGGCCGTCTTCTTCTAAGAAGCGGCTTGCTTCTAAGAAGCCTTCCCCCCTCCCCCATACCCAGAGCCCCGATGTCATGTTTTTTTTTTTTACGTCGGCCCCTAGCGGTCTGGACCCATTTCCCCGAGACCAATTTTTCATCCTGAGTCGTTTTTTGACGGTCCCGAGAGCCAGCGAGGGCCCCTAGCGGCCGAAAGTTTCGAAGAACTTCCGTCTTTGCGTCGGATCTCTAGGTACCCTCTTGTGCGCGCCGCCAGCATTAACTAGGGACCGTTACGGGCTCAGGAGGGGCCCTGGCAGTCGGGCCGCTCCTGGGATCCCAAGTCGAGGGGGGCCAAAACCGGTGTGGCTGGGGTTCGCCCGGGGGGTCAGGGAAGAGCCCCCTCCGTTCCCTGCGGTGGAGGCCCAGGCCAAGGGGCACCCTGCTAGCCTCCGTGCCCTGGGTTTCTCGTGTTGTGATAGTTCTGCGACGGGAGGCGTGATGTCCCCACACCAAAGCTCCGTGGGCGTCCTGGGGTCTCTGGGTTGGGTTTCTCGTGGAAGGTGTCTTGTGGTCGGGCCTCCACGGCATTCAGAGTTCGCACGGTGATTGTAGATAGTCAATTATGGTACGCACCTCTCCGAGAGAGTAGGGCTCCGAGGCGACGCATTGAAGCCGCGTGTCTTTGTTTGGCCGTTTCGCTCGGGACATCCCCAACATCCTGAACATCGGACGCGCTTCTCACGCAGATCGCCACGTCACGATCCAAAAGCACAGCCTTCTTCAACCATCTGACCATGAAGCCTTCGAAAACACAACGGACTCAATGATGTGGGGCCCGAATTTTCGAACATTGCAGTTTCACTTGAGGCATCCTCCACACATGTAGCCTCTTTTTTCTCAGCGCGATTTTTAGCAACAGGCAGGTTCGCTTGATGTATCCTAGTTGGGCTCATCCGGCTCTCAATGGCTCTTGCACCAGGCTGAACGGCGCCCACAATCTATTTCACGAGGACCTCCCAGAAGTTGCTTCCTGACACTCGAGGCTCTATGAGGATGGCCTGTGCTCGTGGGCCGCGACCCCGCGGATACGGGGCGTTTTTCCACGGCTGCCCCGCGCGGAACGTCTTCGCGCGAACGCGAAATCCACGGGGTCGCGCCCCGACATCCAGACCGCGAGGGCGCGGATGCGGACGTGCTTCAGCGGGCGAAGAGCGGTATACAAACAAGTGTGTCCGTCACCGGGGGGGGGAGCCCAAGGCTCGCCGGGCGCGATCTGGTGGCCTGCCCACACGCGGCCGGGTGTGCGCGCCCGCCCCTGCCGACCTCCCCGCGGGGGCTGGCTGAGAAGGGCACAGCCAGCCACGCGCGGAGGCCTGCGCAGAAGCACCCCCTGCTGCTTGGAGGGCGGGGGCCATGTTTGCTGTAGACGTGCACATTTTCACTTCTAATTATCCGGGAGTTATTTGGTTTTTGGGGGGCCAAGATCTTTTCATGTCTAATTGTGCTATCCTGGGCCTCTTCCTGGCCACTGGGGGGCCAGGAACAACTAGAAACGATGACAATTAGAAAGGAGCACAATTAGAAATGAACGACGTGTAAGGCTGGCGCCTTCCAAGAAGCAGCCTTCCCCCCTCCCCCATATACCTCCTCCCCCAGACCCCATTTCTGCGCGCGGCCAAGGCATGGAGGCTGGAAGCGAATGCTGTGGTGTGGGTTGTATCTGGCCTGGCCAGCCTAGCTCACAGGTGGCTTCCGGGTGCCCTCAGTGAATTCGGTGGAGTGGGCGATCTGGGCGAAGTAGGCTCCGCACACGCAGCGGGGTTGTCTCCAAGCCCCCTAGACCACTTGGGGGGCACCTGTGACCCAAGGACAACCTTTATGGGGAGAGTCCGGGAGGCCTCGCTCGGCGCGAACCAGTTGTATCATCTAGTCCGCACGTCAGCTCCACAAGCTATGGGTCGACGCCCGCGCGGCGATGCTCCGGCGCCAGTCCGACGGAAATCCGACGTATTTCCGACGTAGTCCGACGTGGATGCGACGTCAATCGGGTCTCAAGTTGCCGCGCGAGGCCTCCAGGAGTTTCCTCACCACAGCCCAGGTTAGGCCTGGTATATCCCATCCTGGCATCCACTCATACAGTGGAGGCCCATACCAAGAAGCACCCTGCTTGCCTCCAGGGAGCCCTGGGTTTCTTGAGTTTCGATGGCTTTGCTGTGGAAGGCGAGACGTGCCCACACCAAGACTCGATGGAGATCCTGGGGTCTCAGGGTTTGGCTTCTCGTGTAAAGGTTCTTGTGGCCTGGCCTCCACTCAGAAGCCCCCCTATCCTCGGGCGTTGAAGGGCTGAGGAGGAGGAAGAGGAGGAGGAGGAGGAGGAGGAGGAGGAGGAGGAGGAGGAGGAGGAGGAGCAGGGGGCGGAGGAGGAGGAGGAAGGGGCGGAGGAGGAGGAGGAATGGCGGAGGAGGAGGAGGAGGAGGAGGAGGAGGAGGAGGAGGAGGAGGAGGAGGACTGGCCTGTCCCTCGAGTGCCCCTCGCGGTGATCATCTCAGCACGGGGAAAGCCGCCGCCTGCGCGGCCACGGGGCGCACCACCGAGCGGGCTGCTCGCTCCTCGCGCCGCCCGCGGGGGGGGGGGCCGGGCGCGCCAGTGCCGAGGCTTGCGCAGCGAGCGCCGGGCCTCGCAGGACGCCGGGGGCGGGAGGAGGAGGAGGAGGAGGGGGAGGGGGAGGAGGAGGAGGAGGGGGAGGGGGAGGAGGAGGAGGAGGAGGAGGAGGAGGAGGAGGAGGAGGAGGAGGAGGAGGAGGTCCGTAGCCATTTTGGCTCAAGGCTAAACGTTGTGAAGGGTCGAGGACCCGAGAATCAGCGATTAGCTTTGGACCCTTCCGTAGCCTGTCTGGTCCAGACAGCTTGGGGCGAAGGGCCCACGGCGCCAATCATTCTCTCTGCCAGTTCCGTTCCAGCCCAGAGTCAGTGCCAACCATGCCTGCCGCCGAGCAGGCACGTGGAAGCCATGCCCACAGCCGCAGTCGGAGTGCGGACGCCCGACGCGGAGCAGCAGCAGCGGCGACACTGGCGACCCTTGACGAAGATGACAAGAAACGATTGGCAGAACAGCTCGAGCTCATGCCCACGTTCCCAGCGTCTCCGCAGCCGAGGGCGGGGACTGGCGATCTGGGCTCTATGTGTCCTAATGCGCCTATTACTGTTTCTGGGACTGCAAGTGGAGACGGTGCAGGTGAATTCCAGGACGCTCATGAAGACTCTTTTGGTGCAGTCCGAGAGTACATCGACCTCACGAAGAAGGAGCTCCTCATGGCGGTCGGAGGGCTTCAGGCTGGCATCGCGGCGCTGGCCACCTCCGTCTCCAAGAGCTGCGATGACTTGGGCAGGCAGGTCGAGAAGCGTATCTCTGGTCTCGAATGTCGTCAGGGCCGAGCAGAGGCCCGCATCACCCAGCTCGAGACAGCGATTGTCGAGTTGCGGCAGCACTTGGGCATTCTCCAGGGTGAAAAACCAGCGACAGTCCCTGTGGATGATACCTCCTTCCACCGTGCACCAGATACCTCTCTCATTATCGTGCGGGCCAAAGTTCCTGTGGCAAAGCAGGCGATGCTCGCAGCTATCCGACCGTGGCTCGACCGTGTGCAATTGGACCAGACACTCTTCAAGCTGGAGTGCGAGCCTGTGGACAAGCGGTTCATTCTTCAAGTTCAGGGAAACGGCGCCCTGGCAGCACGTCGCGTCGGACAAGCCATGGGAGCGCTTCGTCTTCGCGATGGTGGCTGGCAGAGATTTCCATGTCAAAATATTCAAGGATCGGAGACCGAGCTGCACGTGTCCACGGACAAGAGCCCCTCCATGGTCCGCCAGGAGATCACGCTCAGATCAGAGTCCGCTTGGCTGGCCTCTACCCGCAGGCTCGCTTCTACACGGACAAAGCTCTCGGTTCGATCTCGTCGCAGTGGAAGCAACTCATCCGAGTCAATATCCAAAGTGCGTCGGCGTCTGCCGCCATCGAGTTCTGCTCGGCCAATCTGGCGCTCCTCAACTCCAACGAACAGGCTATTCGTGATGCTCTGGTCGGAGTCGGTGCCAGAGAGGACGAGAACATACAGTGGTGTTCCTAGCAAGTTCTACGCGTCTTGGCAAGGAAGTGCATCGTCGGCGGCTCCGCTGACACTAGCCATTTCGAATGCCAGAGCACTCTTCTTCCACTCACCTGTGATTCGATCCAAGAAGTTGTCTTATTTAAAGTCTCTGCTCTCGCGTGGGGCGCTGGTGGCAGCACAGGAGACACATGGATCCGAGGTTGCAGTGCGAGATTTTCTCGATCATCTCCACCGTCCTTTCTTGGCGTTTTCTTCGTTCTTCGTCGGCGACGTGAGTGATCGCACAGACTTCTCCCTGACCCATCCGAGGGGCCCACCTGTCATCGAACCGCTTCAGATCGTTCCTGGCAGACTTCTCAGGGTGACTATCGGATTCTCTTCTGGGGTTTGGATCTCACACTACAATATCCACAATCACGATATATCGCAGATATACCGACAGCAACTTGAAGACCAGATCCAACTAGACCTCCAGAGGGCCCAGCAGAACCCGCTCTTATGCATGGTCGTGCTCGCTGGTGATTTCAACGTCGCTGATCGGCCTCCTCGGTCATTAGGAACCACGCCTGATTTGCACGGACAGCCTCTCGCTGATCGGCAGCATCGGCGAGATCAGTTTTGGCGTCGTCTCTTCCCTTGGTTCACGGAGGTGGAGGTGGAGGGGGAAACGCATTGCAATAAGCAGATGAACCCGCTGAGCGCCATCGATAGAGTGTTCGTGTCATCTTCAGGCTGGTCGCCGACGCAATTGAATGCTTCTGCTGAACTTCACGGTATGCCTGAAATTTCGAGTGGAAAGCGGGTTTCAGATCACGTGGGGGTATCTGTTGCGATTTCTCCGAGGCAGAAAACGGACCCAGATGCCAGACCGATTCCCAGGGACCTCTTCAGGATGCCTGAGTTCCAAGAGTATTTGAAGAAAGCGATGGAGGTAGCAGATGTGTCGGAGCTGTCTCCGCCGCTGCTGGTCGAGTTTCACAACAAGCTTATGCGGTCTGCTGCACAACACGCTCGATATAGTCTTATCGCTAACCACCCTCACTCTCCTCTTGCGGGGCTTATCATTCTCAATGCTATATCTCGGGCTCTTTGGCATCAAGATGTTCACCTAGCTAACGGACTTCAGAGAACTCACTGGGTGGGGCGCAAGTACTTGAAAGCGGATGTGCGACAGACCTCTGTCTCTTTGCTGTCGCCGCACGAGTTTTTCGAGGCCACGAACGCTGCGCGGCAGGCAGCTGCTGATCGAGCCGCGGCTGAGGTACGCCAGTGCATGCAGCCAGACACTCCAGACAACATCCTAGCCAAACATCGCCGTCGTCTTCGGGGCATCGCTCGCCGTGCTAAACTATGGAGCCCCTTCGACCGCAAGCTCACCATCCAGGGGATAAAGGTTAACGGTTCCAGGATCACGGACCCAGAGGGAAAACTTCTCGCTCTTGGGCAATGCCGGGGACAGGTATTCGCTTCGAAACAGATCGACACCGAGGCTGCTGGCGTCTATCTTGACCGCTTTGCACCGCAGGCTGCTCTGCGAGACCTTCGGCCGCCTTCGAAGGCGACGTTCGATCGGATCCTCTGGCACGCCAAGACGAGCGAGCCCGGACCTGACGGCATCCCGTACCTCGCTTGGGCCATGCACCTTTGTGGCAGCGAGCTTCTCACGCAGGCGACGTGGCGGTGTCTCGAGGGCAACATGATGCTCTATAGTTTCAACAAAGTTCGAGGGGCATTTCTTCCGAAAGGTTCTGAGGAAGGCGACGACGTTGCCATCGACCGATCGGTTTCCCAGACGGGACCGCTGGGCTTGAAAAACTGCGACTGCAAGTTGATGACAGCAGCCTGCACGTGGGAGCTCTCTAGAGCGTTGCCGAGCTTCATTGACCAGTCGCAGAGGGGATTTGTGTGCTCTCGAAATCTGGGAATGAACATTCTAGAACTGGACGTTCAAGCTCGTATCGCGTCCATGCCTGAGCGTGCCCCTTCCTACCTCCCCGCCCTCATCAGCTTTGATATTGGCCAAGATTTTCCTTCCCTGGCCCATCAGTGGATTTTTCTCGCCCTCTCTCGTCTTGACCTTCCCCCCCCTCTGCTTGACTTCCTCCGTCTGATCTACGCTAACGTCGAATGTGTTGGAACGGCTGGCCCCGTCGCTATGCGCTTGTTCTATATAATGTCTGGGATCGTCCAAGGGTACCCCGCCTCTGGCACCTTGCGTGCGATCGCATCTCACCCCTTCCTAGCCTTCCTTTCGAACGCGCTCGAAGCGAACCGACGAGGGGTCGCCCGAGCGTGCGCAGACGACATAGGCAGTCTGGTTTTTCAGCTTCAGTTCTTGAAAGTTTTGCACCGCATGTTCAAGGCCGCAGAGCGCCTGGCCGCTTTGTTCCTTAAGCACAAACAGTGTTTTGTGGCCCCGCTGGCTGGCTCGTTTTCCGAAGCGTTAGCCGACACATACAGAAGCTGGATCCGAACACATATCCCCGAATGGAGCGATTTCGTGGTCGCCCCGTCTTTGCTCTATTTAGGGCTGCGCATGGGGCCTGCAGTGGTGCTCGCCTCGTGGGTCGCCCCATGCGCGAAGCGCGCTGCTCGCGCGGCCGCGATCGCCGCTGCCTCTGCCCCGACAGCTGTGCGCGCTGCTCTTTACTCCAAACGTGCCCCCCCCGTGTTGTCGTACGTGGGTCAGTTTCTCCCCCCTCCCCCCTCTGTCACTCGTAAAGAGCACGCCCAGCTAGCTAGTCTATGCAAGACACCACATTGTGCGATGAGTAGACCTGACTTCTTTAATCTTTCGGCCTGGGGAGGGCCCAAGTACCCGAGCGCCGAGGCTGTCTCCGGAGCCGCCCTCATGAGAGCTGCGGTGGTCACGTTTCGCGGTTGGGAAACTTGGCGCGAGGCGCTCCAGCAGAAGGCCATCGAGCTCCGACCGCACAGGCATGTGCTGCAGGACGGGCCGGGCCCAAGGTTCTGGCAGATTATCAGTTTTGTAGAGCAGCTGGCCGAAGCCGCCCAAGGCTTCCCGAGCTGCCGTCGTGTTGCAAGCGCTGGCAGAGATGCTCTCGACCTCGTCACCCCGCTCCTTGCTGAGTCTCCTGCTGCTGCTCCTCGCTCCTGTCCTCCGAAGATACAGCGCTTGATCACGAGCTCTCTCACCGCGTCGTTGTTCCCAGACACGCTTCACGAGACCTTTACCGCTCGCCTCATGAAGTGGTTCCCTGGCCATCGCAGTCGCATCATTGCCATCGATTGGCCTGCCATCCAGAGTTTGTGTCGCTCTCTTCAGCCTGCCCTAGCCTCTGCGTGTATAAAAACATGGTCAGGCTCCTGGACCACAGAGTCCAGGTTTCAAAAGAATGACTGCTTCTGCGTTGTCAAGTGTAACCCTAGAGCGAAGGATACGATCCCACACTATCTCTCTTGCCCTGTCTTTGTCTCGTATTGTGCCAGAGTGTTGCGGCGCCCTCTTCCTGAGTGCCCGATCTCTCGGCTTGGTCTTTATCCCACTCCGTCTTCCTCTGACGCCCTCCACTTCTCTGCTGTCGCCCACCTCCTTTACACTTTTATTGCTCCCTTCGCCCCGCACTTTTCGGACTCGCAGGTGGGCCCCGTCCTCTCACAGGTGAGGATGGCATTTATACGCCTTCTGCGAAGTGGTGGCCGACACTGAGGACTCTGGGCGCCCTGGGTACGCGCCTAGAAGGAGGAGGAGGAGGAGGGGGGGGAGGAGGAGGAGGAGAAGGAGGAGGAGGAGGAGGAGGAGGAGGAGGAGGAGGCGCGTGCCTCGCCCCTGACCACCCGAGGAGGGCTAACAAAGACAGCGCCATGACCCCGACGTCTACGTTCCTGTCGACGCTTTTGGGGCGGTCCAGACAGGTCTGGAGGTTTTTTTTGTTTTTGAGCGCCCTGGAAGGCCAGGGGTGGAGGCGTCACCAGGCGTCGAAGAACAAACACTGCGTAAGCGCGACGCCTCGGAGCCCATCGTGGCTGTCTCTCGGATCGGCGCTGGACGCCCCTGGCGGCGCCTCTGGCGCCGCCCCCCGCGCGCTCTGCGCGCCGGGGAGCTGGGCCCGCCGCCGATCCAGGAATTCCGCGGGGCGCTCCGAGGCATCGTGCTTATGCAGCGCTTGTTCCTCGACGCCTCGTGACACCGAGCGCCGATCCGAGACGCCCGCGGGGACCTCCGAGAAATTGCGCCTGCGCAGCTTGTTTTGCTCCTGCAGCTGTGCGCGGGCGGAGCTGCCGACGCGGCGACGTCCCTGCCGCGGGCGCTCGAGGTTGCACGCCGCGGAGCATGGGCAGGGCGGCCAGCCAGCGTTGCTAGACGGCCGAGCTCTTTTCCCCTCGTCCTTGCGCGCTCCTATCCCTCCCCCTCCCTTCTCTCTCCCCCTCTCCCGCCTCCAGCGCGCTCTCCGAGCATCCCTTCCTGATGTCCTCCTCCTCCTCCTCCTCCTCATCCTCCTCTTCTTCTTCCCTGAGATCCGACGCTGCGAGAAAAATGCAAGAGATCGCAAAGCATCACCCCCGGACCCGCGCATGGACCCCATCTTTTCGCGGCATTTTCCGAGCCGGATCGATGTGTGGGGGTCCGCCCCCAGGCCCGAAATCGAGCGACAACGCCCGGCTCGGAAAGCTTGCGTCGCCAGGATCTCGGGGTTCGTCTTCCGCCCCTATCTCCATCTGCCCACCCCACGTCGTTCACCTCCTTTTCCCACCTTTCGTTCACCTCCCTCCTTCTCCTCATGGCGCCAACAACGCAGAGCGGATTTCGCTCGGGAAAACGCGGGATGGGCCCAGACTGTCCTGGAGAGTTTCGTTTTGGATTTCGATGTGAATTTCGTGCGGATGTTGTTGGGGGGCCGGGAACGACGACGAAAAAGAATCCACGTGAACGTCACGTCGTCTTTCGCTCGTCGTTTCTGGGTCTTGCACTGGCAGACGTCCACACAAAGTCCCCAGCAGCACGTCTGCAGGGTCGGTGCAGTGCATTCCTCCTCCTTCTCCCACCCCATGTCCCTCCCCGGGGGCGCGAGCATCAGCTCTACCCTGAGGCCGCGGGGCTCTGGAGCGCGACGGCGGCGCGGGCCTGCCAGTGCTGCTGCTGCTGCTGCTGCTGCTGCTGCCTGGCGTGCTCCTGGGGGCCGTCTGCCTCGGGCAGGACCGTGGCCGCCTTCGGCGTGCGTCGGGCCGGGCCTGTCCGTGGCCCCCCCCAGGCAGCGCTTGCCCTCAGGGTCTCGCCTTGCGCTGCTGTGGGCCCAGGCCCCCTCGCCGTGTGGAACAAGCGCGCCGGGAGGCGCCTCCTTCTTTTTGTTCGGCCTCGGGGGGCCCCCGGACGGGCCTCGAGGCCGTATCGAAGAGCGACTCGGGGTGGAACGCCGGTCCCGGGGGGAAGGGGTCCCGACCTCTGGGGGTCGCCGCTGCGGCAAAAAATCACGACGTCGGGGTCTGGGAAAACTGTCAAGCAGTGGCGAAGCGTCCTGGCTCGTCTATAGCCCTACCGAACAATGTTCTAAGAACCTTTTGCGGTTTCCACGAAATGTTCTTAGAGCATTTCTGGCGGAGATTGTCTTGTTTGAACACATGGGGCGTATGTTCCAAGAGCATTGTTTTTGTTCTCTTAGAACACTGGTGGGTTCTCAGAACATGTCGTGGCAGGACTCCAGGAATGCCGGGACGGTCGGCCCCTGCTCCAGACGTCGGGGTCCGGGATGACCTGGGCCCGCTCGCGGCCCCCGGGGACGACGGCCCCCGGAGCCCGCACGTCGCCGCGCCAACGCTCTCCCGCAGCAGGGCACCGCGGTTGTTGCGGGCCCGGCGGCCCCGTGCCCGCGCCGCGTCGCCGCCGCCGCGCTGCCATCCCCCCCCCCCTTGTCCCTCCTCCGTCGCAGGGCATAAGGGGGCCACGTGCGAACCCTGTCCCCACCCCCCCACGATTTCGGAGGGGGTAGGGGCAGGGTTCGCATGTGGCCCCCTGGGGCAGTCGCATGGCACTGCGGTCGCATTGCCCTTCTTTGCCTTTTGGTTTGCAATCGCATGGCACTGCAATCGCATGGCAATAATCGCACGGCGTTGCCTCGCACTGCTTGGCGCTGTTCTGCCTCGCTCTGCAGTGCTCTGCACTGCATTGCACTGCTTTGCAGTGCTCTGCGCTACATGGGGTCCACGCTGGCTGACCTGTTCTTGCTTCAGATCCTGGCAGCGCGGAAAGCAACGTGACGTATTTCGACGGTGTCGATCCTTCGAGGCCGTGCCCAGGCCCCTGGACCTTCCAAGTTCATTCTGGGTGAAAGACCCGCCCCGTGGAAGGGGCCGAGATTCCCGGATCGCCGTCACGACACATATGCACAGTCGGTAGAGATGGTTGTGACGATTTGGGATCCAGTCGGGCCGTCGTGTGGATTCTGGAGGTCGTTCGGAGGCACCCTTAGGTAGGCACGACTTCGAGCAGTTTCGGTGCATTGTCGGGGCCTCTCTCTGGGGCAAGGGGACCAGAGTCGCGTCCTCGTCGCAGCCGCGGGGCTGTCGTGGACCGCTTGCGTTTGGTCCCAGCACAGAGTGAGAGGAGCAGACACAGAGAAATGCTGATGGTTGCGTGAGCACGCCATTCTCTGACGAGGGCTCGGGGAGGTGGGTGGAGGATGGTAATCAGGCGTCTGGAAAGCGCAGGTCGTCATATAACATGATGCGCCGCGTTACATCGTGCCGTGTTGAGGTCACATGACTGCCCTGCAGGACGGTCTCTAGTACCAGAGACCCGCGCGGTACATGGTCAACTCATCGCCATGCACGCACAGATCAAGCAGCGGTGGGTCGACAATCGACCGGTTGGAGCGGAGCACGCGATACGGGTGACGTGCGGCTCTCTGTCGGGGGGGTGCTCGAGGGCGGCAGTCTGCTGATGGGCGGGCCGTGCCGGCTCTCTGCAGGTGACTCGTGGGGCCCGCCAGCCAGGCATGCGCTTGACAGCCCAGCATGCGCGCTCCCCCCCCCCCCGGTTCGTCTAGCCCCCGACATTTGTATGCTGCTGCCTCCTGTATGCGCAGGGCTCCGGCGGGCGCCGCGTGTTCCCCGCGCGTGCACAGGGCTCTGGGTAGCAACGGTTCGTTGACGACCGTCCTCGCAGCCAGTCAGGGCTGCAAATCCTGCTTTCGAGCAAAAGTGGGTTCAGACATTGCAGAGCTCGCCTCGTCTCGTCTCGTGTCCTGAGCTGGACCTGGCCACCCAGCCATCGAGTGGGCGTTGCTGCGGCCGCTACAGAGGACACTAATCGTGAATGCACTTGTGGGTCGGTGCCATTTTATTCGCCATGCTTGCCATCTAACTTGTACCCCGACGTTCCATGCTGGTGACCCTTTGCACAGTACAAGTCGCACCATTGACGAATCATCGGCAGGTGGTCTTCATGATTTCATTTGAAGCTCTTGATTGGCTTGGCTGTTCCAGCTTTCCATTATGGTCTTCTATTTCACACCGCCGTGCCAGTCGCGCGCAGGTGCCATCCATTGCCGCACTCACATAGTAACAGCGTAACGCGGTCACAACTCTTGGATACATTCGGGCCACCTTGGATTTCTTCAGGTGCTTATCCGAGGTCTACGTATTCAGAAATCTCCAGATTGCCATGTGTTAGAATAGCGCCTGGTCGTCGACCCTTTCAGTTCAATCGTGCATAGAATGTGTGTTGTAAATGTTACTTGTGACTTTGAATGCCAGGTGGATTATTTGGAGAGGTTAGGGCGGCGTTCTCGGTGGCCTGTTGGGGCCTCTTTTGGGCCTCTTGGGACCACCGAAGAGCGTTTTTCGTGTTCTCTTGGGGTTAGGGGCGCGGGGCAAGCTTCAGGGAAAGGTTGAACGGAATTGTGGCTGTCTGGGGGCATGTTCTTCTCCGCCTTCGGCCTGTCCTGGGTGGCCTTCTCGGACTGTCATTGGGTTTCTCGGGGATCGTCTCGGGTTGCATCGGGTGTTCCCCGGTGCACTGCCGTCCCAGGTCCACCTCATACGTCACCACCCACCAAACCACCCCAACCCAACCCGAAGGCCTCAATTTGCCCTCCATTTCCAGTTGGGGGGGGGGTCAGGGAACATTGAAAAACGCATATGGAACCCGTACCCCCCCCAACCCGAAATTCGGGTCTTCGGGTTGGGTTGGGGTGGTCTGGTAGGTAGTCAAGACGGTCCTGAAGCCCTCTCCAGGCGAGAAAGTCGGAGAGCGTAGGTCCCCCGAGCACGCACAGGTTCGTCGGTGCACTGGGCCTTCGAGGGTCTCTGTCGTGTCCTCCTGGGGCACCTCTGGAGGCCGCTCGGGTGCCTCGCGCGGCCTCCTCGGGCCTTTCTCGGGCTGCCGGGGAGGCTTCCAGGGCCGCCTGGAGGGAGGAGGGAGGAGGGAGGAGGGAGGAGGGAGGAGGGAGGAGGGAGGAGGGAGGAGGGAGGAGGAGGAGGGAGGAGGAGGAGAGGAGGGCGGAGGTGGCGGAGGAGGAGGAGGAGGAGGAGGAGGAGGGAGGAGGAGGAGGAGGAGGAGGAGGAGGAGCGTTGCGACCAGGGGCCCGTCCTGGGCCGCGTCGGCGCCGCTCTCGTGCCGCCCCTCCACGGCGCGTGTGAGTTCGGACCCCCCTGGTGTGGGCTTGATACCCCCCCCCACTCCAGGTCCAGTGATTTTCAGGAGCGGGAACACACACACACACACACTGACAGAATCCATCGTCGACTCCCAGGGAAATATATGGGAGAATGTGGGCAGTGGGGGGGGGGAGGGAGGGGGGAGGATGAGAGCCCCGGACATGTGGGAAGCATGGAGGATCCTGTTGTTGGTGTCTGTTTGTTTGTGTGTGTGTGCCTGTGGCCACCGGAGAGAGCTGCCGCGCGCCTCGCGATGCCCTCGCGGCGCCGGCGGATAGGCGCATGCCGCAGGGGCTGCGCCCGCCGGGCCGGGGGGGTGCCCCTCCCCTGCCCGAGCCCCTCGGTGCACTGCTGCGTGCGCGCCCCCCCCCGGGGGGGAACGCTGTGTCCGTGGAGTGTTTCCTGTGAAGCCACGTGCTGCTGCGAGAGGCTCAGGCGATCGCAAGCATTAAGTCGGCCATGTCCCCCTACAGGGGGATTTTGGACGAAAAATAGAAAATAGCCAAAAGATATTCAACAATAGTCATGAGTGATCAACACATCGTCCCCATACTTTTTTTGTTTTTTACTATTTTTGAGTCTTCTTCCTGTAGAGGGACACGCCCGACGTAACGCAAGCATGGATCAACGGGGGCGTGGATCAGCGACGGGTCCCGCTTCCACGGGAGCTCGCGGATTCCCGCCGCCGGGCGTGGCGGCACCGGCCGCATTTTGGGGGAGGGCACCTCGACCGATCCATGGACTTGGCGACCGCGCGCCGAGTCCATGGATCGCAAATCCAGGTTTGCGCGCCCCCGAGAGGTGACGGACATCGAGAGGATACCGCTGAATTACGACGATAAGGAGATGACATCCAAGGAGAGGAGGCTGACGCAGGCCGGTGGCTGCTGACGAATCCGTTTCCCGCACAGTGACTTTCTTGCTCTGCCCCCGCCCCCACAGCTCGCCCCCCCCTCCCTTTCATGGAGAGGGGAAGGCATGGGCACGCATAGCAGTAACCACACACTTCGGGATTCGCAGAAGGACCTGAGTCACCAGGACGCCCAGGTTCGTCGGGCGGCAGCGAGCGGGCTGCTACGTCTTGCTGAGGACAAGGCCTTGGAAGCGATCCAGTTCGAGAACAACAAGGTGACCATGTACTCCGAGCCCGAGAAGTACAGAATCTTTGGGCCACGGACGTACCAGGTGGGCTTTCTCTTTTCCTCCGTTTCTAGATGGGCCGTTGCCACTTCCCACTGCATCCATTGATGCACCATTCTGGCACGATCCCGCAGATGCGCGATCTCACTGAGGCAGACATTGCGGCAACCTTCTCATGTCGGCATTGCTTGAAGTGATCGAGTGGTCGCATTCGCAGTGCTTTGAAAGGCTCAGCCTTGCTTTTATGCTGCCGCTGCTTTTGTTAACCTTCGTGTTATGAAACTTGTGCAGCACTCGGTTCCAACAACGCTGGAGCCGACGCATGGCAGATGAAGCTCAGCTCCAGAAGCGACTGCGCATACGCACAGCAAGGCGCATGAATACATCAAACATCGTGTGAATAGGTGTACGGGGTGATCCAGTATATATTCGATTAGGAAGTGGGAGAGCACGAGGTGAAGGGAGAGAGAGAGAGAGAGAGAGAGAGAGCGACTGGACTGCGCGAGTAGCGGGGCGGCGGTATGGCAGAGCGCGAAGGAACAGAGAAACCGATGGAGGATGTGAGCAGACGCCGTGGCCGATGCTTACGGAGCCTTTTTCACCCAGGGTGCGCCGAACACCGGTGGAGCGGCGGGCAGATAACAGAGGCTGGGGTCTGGCAGCGGGCCGGAGCGGCTCGTCGAGCCGTGCGGTGTTCCCGAGAGTCCTCCGGAGGCCCCCCGGGTAGCCTTGAGAGGCCCCCCCCCAAGAGCCCCATGCTGCCCCCCTGCGTGACCTCTGACCACGGGCAGGCGAAAAGTCATGCGATGCCGCCAGGCAGCGGCCAGCGCGCGCGAGCCTGCAGCTCGTTTGGGGCTGGCTGGCTCGGCTCTGCTTTACAGTCAAGGCGCTGCAACCAAATCCCGTGGGGACTAGGTCTAGGTCGGGGAACTGGTATCTAGGGCGGGAGAGGGGGAGGAGGAGGAGGAGGAGGAGGAGGAGGAGGAGGAGGAGGAGGGCTCTGGTATTCGTGCCTTTCCTTCGATCCAGGTCGGGGAAGCCATCCGTGTCCTCGCCGTCGCCATAAGAGCCCCTTTGGTGTCCTTTCCAGCGTTCCTCATGACAGCACGATGGCTTTCGGTCGCAGCTGCTGGCAGCCTTGGTATCTCTTCGCAGTGCCATCTACAGGGTGCACTACGGTGGGGGCGTTCGTTAAGGAACGTACCCAGGAGGCTTCAGACCCTGGGGGATTCCTTATCTGACGAGGGCGGCGGTGATATCCATGGCCAAGCTTCGATTGGAGTTCCACCGGCTTCCAGACCCTGAATTCCTTATCGAAGGTTTCCTTTATCCAATGCCCCCACCGTAGCATCCGCTAGCATGTGATGTGGTGATCGATGAGAAGGCGCCGTTTTGAAGTTTGATTGGCGTCGTTGTAGCGTCCGGGAAGCATCGATTAGAGTCGGCCAGCGTCCATTCGCAACAGCCGGCAAAGTGGCATGGCAGGCTCCCGTGAGTTGCCCACGAAGATGACTGTATGAGCAGTCTGGGGAGGTCCGATCGATCCGACGGCTTCTAGCGGGCAGCGCGCTCACCGGGAGGCGCGCGGGCTTGGGGCATTTCTCCGCACCTCCGGCTTCTCGGCTCCAAGGCTGTCAGGCCGGAGGCTTGTGTGGCTCCCCCCAGCATTTTTATATACGCTCGCTTCGGGGGCCCCCCCGCCAGAATCACTTGGAGGCTCGTCGACGGGTGTTCGACGCAGCATCGACGCTCCGCCACAAAACAGCACACCCAGACACCCCTCCAACCCCACTGCACTTGTCCTGGGCCTCAGGGGAGGGTGCCGCTGTATACATCACCACCGAGAGCCAGCGACTTGTGACACCGACACCCTCCCTGACGGCGCAGGCAAAACTCGTCGGCGGGTGCACGTTTGTGTGCTCTCGTGGCGCGGACGCGTGGGTGCAGCGGGTGGCTCCAGGAAGGCACCGAGCAGCGCGCATCTGACCCCGGTCGGGCACGTGGGGGCGCCACGTGCACAGGGGATGCTTACCAGCCTGGGACATATCCCTATCCCTATTAGCTGGGCACCTCCGCATCACGATGCCAATCTTAGGGATTCCCTTATTCCCCACATCCTAAGTGGGGTTCTTGTTTTCTCTGCACACCCTCCGTGCAGGATCTCCTCCTCCTCCCTCTCCTCTGCTCCTCTTTGCTTCCTCCTCCATCATCATCACCATCACCATCACTCCCCACTCATCATCATCATCACCATCAGCATCACCATCACCATCCCACGATCACTCACCATCATCGGCATCGAACGATCATCATCATCATCATCATCATCATCATCATCATCATCATCATCATCATCATCATCATCATCATCATCATGAGGCCTGAATATGGAGGAAGTCTCGAGCGGGAGCCTCGTCTGTGAGTGAATTGCGAGGAAGTCTCAGGCGGGAGCCCCCTCCCTATGGGGCCCGCACTTCATGTTTGAATCCGAGCGGGTCATCCGCAACGTGCAACTGTCGTCACTTTTGGGCTCTTGAGATTTTAATATGGAGGAAGTCTCGAGCGGGAGCCTCGTCTGTGAGTGAATTGTGAGGAAGTCTCAGGCGGGAGCCCCCTCCCTATGGGGCCCGCACTTCATGTTTGAATCCGAGCGGGTCATCCGCAACGTGCAACTGTCGTCACTTTTGGGCTCTTGAGATATGAATATGAGGAAGTCTCGAGCGGGAGCCTCGTCTGTGAGTGAATTGTGAGGAAGTCTCAGGCGGGAGCCCCCTCCCTATGGGGCCCGCACTTCATGTTTGAATCCGAGCGGGTCATCCGCAACGTGCAACTGTCGTCACTTTTGGGCTCTTGAGATATGAATATGGAGGAAGTCTCGAGCGGGAGCCTCGTCTGTGAGTGAATTGTGAGGAAGTCTCAGGCGGGAGCCCCCTCCCTATGGGGCCCGCACTTCATGTTTGAATCCGAGCGGGTCATCCGCAACGTGCAACTGTCGTCACTTTTGGGCTCTTGAGATTGAATATGGAGGAAGTCTCGAGCGGGAGCCTCGTCTGTGAGTGAATTGTGAGGAAGTCTCAGGCGGGAGCCCCCTCCCTATGGGGCCCGCACTTCATGTTTGAATCCGAGCGGGTCATCCGCAACGTGCAATTGTCGTCACTTTTGGGCTCTTGAGACTTGAATATGGAGGAAGTCTCGAGCGGGAGCCTCGTCTGTGAGTGAATTGCGAGGAAGTCTCAGGCGGGAGCCCCCTCCCTATGGGGCCCGCACTTCATGTTTGAATCCGAGCGGGTCATCCGCAACGTGCAACTGTCGTCACTTTTGGGCTCTTGAGATATGAATATGGAGGAAGTCTCGAGCGGGAGCCTCGTCTGTGAGTGAATTGCGAGGAAGTCTCAGGCGGGAGCCCCCTCCCTATGGGGCCCGCACTTCATGTTTGAATCCGAGCGGGTCATCCGCAACGTGCAACTGTCGTCACTTTTGGGCTCTTGAGACTTGAATATGGAGGAAGTCTCGAGCGGGAGCCTCGTCTGTGAGTGAATTGCGAGGAAGTCTCAGGCGGGAGCCCCCTCCCTATGGGGCCCGCACTTCATGTTTGAATCCGAGCGGGTCATCCGCAACGTGCAACTGTCGTCACTTTTGGGCTCTTGAGATATGAATATGGAGGAAGTCTCGAGCGGGAGTCAGTCTCAGGCGGGAGCCCCCTCCCTATGGGGCCCGCACTTCATGTTTGAATCCGAGCGGGTCATCCGCAACGTGCAACTGTCGTCACTTTTGGGCTCTTGAGATATGAATATGGAGGAAGTCTCGAGCGGGAGCCTCGTCTGTGAATGAATTGTGAGGAAGTCTCAGGCGGGAGCCCCCTCCTTATGGGGCCCGCACTTCATGTTTGAATCCGAGCGGGTCATCCGCAACGTGCAACTGTCGTGACTTTTGGGCTCTTGAGACTTGAATATGGAGGAACTCTCGAGCGCGAGCCTCGTCTGTGAGTGAATTGTGAGGAAGTCTCAGGCGGGAGCCCCCTCCCTATGGGGCCCGCACTTCATGTTTGAATACGAGCGGGTCATCCGCAACGTGCAATTGTCGTCACTTTTGGGCTCTTGAGATATGAATATGGAGGAAGTCTCGAGCGGGAGCCTCGTCTGTGAGTGAATTGTGAGGAAGTCTCAGGCGGGAGCCCCCTCCTTATGGGGCCCGCACTTCATGTTTGAATCCGAGCTGGTCATCCGCAACGTGCAACTGTCGTCACTTTTGGGCTCTCGAGATATGAATATGGAGGAAGTCTCGAGCGGGAGCCTCGTCTGTGAGTGAATTGTGAGGAAGTTTCAGGCGGGAGCCCCAGGAGGAAGAGGAAAGGACAAAGAGTAAGCTAAACAGATTCTCATGCGGGGTCCTACCGTCGGAGTAATTTTTTGAGGGCGAATCCCTAAGATTGTCATCGCCTTTTGGCGTGTCAACCTTAGGGATAGGGATACCGGAAGCGCCCTCACCTTGAGGGCGGTTCTGCGGGGGACGCGCCGCCCTGTGCTGCGTTGACTCCCCAGAGGCGCTGTTGAACGTGCTGCACGACCCCGACTGGAAAGTGCGCGACGGCCTCAGCGTCTGCGGGTTGCGTGACCGCCGGCCTCAGGGATGTTGTCAGTCGGTGGCGGAGAATTTGAATCGTTCATTCTGAGATTTTTGGGGTGGCACCCGAACAGTTGTCCTGCGCGGGGGATCTGTTCAATGATGCTCCAGGTTGCATGAATGTATTGCCGACGCCATCCAGGGTGTTTTGCAATTCCGCTTTTCAGATTCACGTATTGTTGATTCATCGTGCGGGCTCAATCATCAGTGGAGGGACAAGTCATGAATCATGACTTCTCGCTTCTTTGATGGTTGAGCCAGGTTTCCAGCATGTCCGGCCTAGGGCAAATCGCATCACGACATCATTCTCGTCCTACATCGCAGCGTCGGCCCGGAGCATATTCGACCGATCAGGCTCACAGTCGCGGTTTGATTGGGAAATCGGGCTTCGCCGTCGGGTCGAGCAGCTGGACCTGGGTGTGGCGGCGCGATCGCCTACACGCCAAGGCTGGGATGCCGCCTTGGTCTTCAACGCAGCCTGGAAGGTGGACAAGATGGCGGCCGGGCGGCCAAAATCCAGTCGGCGTTTCTTGCGGTGTCCCTGAGACGTGTGCCTCCGGGGGGTCCGCTCTAGAAACTGAGCGGCCAGGCGCGATGAGTGAGCAGAGTCGACGTCGTCGGCGTCGTCGTCGTCGGCGTCGGCGTCGGCGTTGGCGTCATCGTCGGTGTCGTCGTTGGAGCGCGACGTTTTGGCATTGGTGCTTTTTGGTGTGTTTTCGTCGTTTGTGTTGCCGTTCTTCCCGTCCTGCGTGAGGCCGAAATGTTTTCTGTGGCTGACAGCCATGGACAGGTGCAGAGAGGCTTTTGTGGTGCTATGCGGATGGCGATCAGTAGTTGCCACCAGCAGACTTACCTTTTTATCTGGTAGACAAGGGGCAACTTGAATCGAACACCGATGGTGTCCTGCATGTTTTGAGGCTTGTTTTGTTGTCTCTGAGGTAACCGGGCACACAGTCCTTGTTGCACCATCGCAGAATTGACTTCCCAGAGGGTGTGGGTTGTGGATCGCGACAGGGTTGCTTTCGAAGGGGACCTTCAAATGAGAAATGTACAAAGGAGCGCCTTTTTCAGTGTTAACTCTGAATGTCCAGCTCGTTGAAACTCTTCAGAACTGTCTGATTTCAAGCAGGGCTCACGATCAGTGGCCGGCTCGCGATCAGTCGCCCATGTCAAGTTGATACGTTAGCTGATGATGTAACCTGCAAGGGCAACGTGTATTATCATAAGGAATGATCAATTGTCGTGTAAGCCCATTGGGGCTAGTACGTGACAGCGGCACATTCGTGCTACATGTGTGTTGTGCTGGACTTCAGAGAAGTGTCAGGATTTTTCCATGTGCAAGTAAGTTCCTTTCTCGTCAAATGACACGTCGCCACGATTCTGCTTAGTTTAAGTGTGTTATTCGAACTTCATCCGGCCCCACTGGGCCATTTTATTTTGGAGGGAATCTCCACAATGTGGGTTGGACTTCTAGGAATCATCTGCTGCAGTCTCCAGGCTGATAATGTGAGCGCGGATCCTTATTTATTCGAGGAGTCGTGGCCATTGGACTGCGGATTCAGGAGGTTCGCGTGCAAGTTCGTTATTAAAGCAACGGCCAGGTGACATATCTTCAACGTGTCTATGACAGACAGAGGATGACGGGATGCGACCCGACAGGGCGGCGGGAATGGGTCCACGTCGGGGCGATGGTGGTCGAGCGCGTGAAGTAATTTGTAATCATACCATCGTGTGTGGTGAGCTCCTCTGTCCCCAGGGAGCTTGCGATCCAGCCCTCAGGAAATCACGAATGCCTAATTGTTAGGCGTAGAATGCACAATGACACGTTGCTCTCACGAGGACTGAGCTGCATCGCGGCTGGATGACCCCTCCAGTGGCGTTGGCGGATTTTGAAATGCACATACATGTATTGAGCGACGACGCACGTATGTTTGAGTTTATGACTGGGCGTTGGTTCGTATCATTGGTGGTCCTTCCTGAGAATGTTCAAACAATCTGCGGTGATATTCGCGCGATCGGACACATTTTGCATGTGTCCATGAGGTACATAGTGTACACATATACATTATATGTGTTGCGTTCGACGTACGGTCTCAGGTGCAATACGCATATGCACCGTAGTTCTACCCTGCCCTTGCCAGGTTTGTTCCCGCGGCGTCAGCATCTGTTTCACGTTTGTCAGTTTCCACTTCATGGCCGCGTCATAATTTAGAGCTCTTCTGCACAGGTCGGCACACTAGTGGAATGTCGAATGCTGGCTTTGGGATCATGCACGGCAGCACCACCGAGACGGGTACCCAGTGACGGGACTTCGGTAACGCGCAGGAAGGTGCAGGAACACGGCAGGAAAGTGCCACTTTTGAGCGGAATGGCGCAGGATTCAGAACATTGGCAGGAAATTGTTACTTCCTACATCGACCGGAGTCCCCGTCCACTGAGCACCGACCAGGTTGGCACAAAACGTGTCGCGTTTCCGACGGTCTGGCTTTTGTTGGACTTGTTGTTATATTTCCGATGCACCCAACCGGCCCATGCAGAGACATGTGTCGAGCCGGTTGGGAGGTGGGTCTTGCGTCTTCGAGATCGGGCTTGGCCCTTCGGGGCCACGGACAGGAGGGAGGAGGAAGAGGGGCAGTGGGAAGGAAGAGGAGGGCGGAGGAGGAGGAGGGAGGAGGGAGGGAGGGAGGGAGGAGGGAGGCGGAAGAGGGAGAGGAGAAGGGAGAAGGAAGAGGAGGGAGGAGGGATGAGGAAGAGGAAGAGAAGGGAGGAGGAATGAAGAGGTGTGCGAGGCCCAGCGCTGTTCCGCACTCTGCCGAATCCCTGAGGTGCAGCTTCGCAGCCCTCCCCCATGCCCTCTCAAATGGGCCCAAAGTTCAGCCACCACGGTGTGAGGGATTCCCTTTTCCGCCTCTACGCCCAGGGACCCCACACATCAAAACTAACCACACGTGGCGCAGCTGAATCTGCTTGCGACCACGAAGGCCCACAGGCGGGACTGAATATGGTGGCGCAACTGAATATGATTGGGCGTAGCAATCACAATCACTTGTCCCTCTTTCGCCGAGAGGCCGTCATGTCGACCTAATAGGCCCAGAAGATGCCCTCAAGAGGCGCCCACGACGGCCCAAGAAGCCTCCAAGACGCCCCCAGATGGCTGCAGAATCTCCTCAGATGGCCCAGGCAGTCCCCAAGACCCCCCTTATAATCACAAAACACTTTCGCGAGGCACCCAGGGTCCTGTCACTGGCCACCCAGAGAGCTGGTGGTAGGTCGACGGGTGTATGATAGAGGCAGGGGCACCTGGGATTTCATGGCCCAAAAATTATCAGTCCGGAGTCCTGGACGATCTATCGTTTATCGCTTGCACCATGTCGTCGTAGTAGCCCCGTGTATTCACCGGGGTTCGGACTGAAACCATCATTTCATCAAGGGGGTCAAGATCCCTTTCTCACTTCAAGTCCTGTTGCAATATGGGCTTGAATCGAGTCGATTGGGGGCGCGCGCTTTGAGGGCGTCGACCCTTACATGGCGAAGCTGAACCAAATGATCTGCCGGCACGACAACGAGACAGACCCAGTCGAACCACACATAGATTTGCTGGAGGCCGCTGGTCGCTGCGGCCACGCATTCTATCCTTATTCCAGGACCTTGTTGTTTGCGCTATATCTTTCACGTGCTGTGGTGTGCTGGTCGCCCTCGGATCCCAGTCCCATAACAATATAGCTCATATCTGGTCATTTCTCGGGGCGGCCAAAGGAGGGGTGATGACAACGGCGGGTGGACAGCATGGCTGTGGCCATATTGTCTCCCTAGACTTCATGTTCCCCTCTTCGTCGTCCAATACCTGCACTGGCTCCCCCTCTTCCGCGAGCACGTCGCGGGCCATGATCTGCGTGCCCCCGTCTGGGACGACCCCGAGTCTCACTCAGACGGGTCTTTAGTTTAGATCCCCTCTCGTTTCTCTCGGCAGGGAATAAACTCGACCCTCTTCCTGCTCCTCCTCCTGCTCCTCCCCCTCCTCCTCCTCCTGCTCCTCCTCCTCCTCCTCCTCATCCTTCTGCGACTCCTCCTCCTCCTCCTCCTCATCCTCATCCTCCTCCTCCTTCTCCTTCTCCTGCTCCTCCTCCTCTCCCCTCCTCCTCCCCCCTCCTCCTTCCCCCTCCTCCTCCTCCTCCTCCTCCTCCTCCTCCTCCTCCTCCTCCCTTTCCTCCTCCTCCTTCTCCTGCTCCTCCTCCTCTCCCCTCCTCCTCCTGCTTCTCCATCTCCTCCTTGTCCTGCTCCTCCTGCTCCTCCTCATCCTCGTGGTCGTCATCGTAGTCGTCGTCGTCGTCGTCGTCGTAGTCGTCGTCGTCGTCGTCGTCGTCGTCGTCGCGGCCCATCCCGCCACCGTGCCTATATTGCGGGTCAGATCCTTCCTAAGCGACTCCGGGGGTCTCTCGGGATGTCTTTCGGGGGCCCTATCGGAGACCTCTCGGGATTTCCTGGGATGCCTTTTTGGGGGGCATCTTCGGGGTCTCTCGGAGCCGTCTCGGGGGGGCATCTCGTGAGGGCCGCCAGGGGGTCCATAAATTGGGCATGCAGGGTGTCTTGGGGGTCACATTGAGTTATTATTGGAAGGAAGTGCACCTCAAGGGCCCGTCGTGTTGTCCCTCTTCGGCCCACTAGGGGGCCTCCTGGGCTGTCTCGCAGGCTACTTTGTCTGCGCCTCTCACGGGCCGTCTTCAGGTCCCCTTGGCGACCTGTTGGGCCATCGTGCGGCGCTGGAAGCGCGAAACTGCGACACTCACAACACCATCGAACGACGTGGAGAAACATCAATGATGGGGGTCTCTTGGGGCCCTCCAGGGGCGTCCAGGAGGCCTCTTCGGCCGTCTGGATGCCGTCTTGGGCCGTCTCGGAGCGCTCTTGGTCCGTGTCGGGGCCTCCAAAACTGTCCCCGGGGCCCTGTTATGCAGCCTCCTGGCCCCTCTTGGAGCTCTCTGGCCTCGATGACAGTCTCGCGACTCACCGCAGAAGTTACTCGACGCACCCAGGGAGATTCGTGAGTCAGGGGCCTCGGCCCCTACAATGCACAGGACAGAGAGCTCAACATGAGATGAGGACACCCAGCTGAGTAGCTACGGCACGGTGACGGATTGTTTGACATTTGCAGGCCGGTGTTCCCAGGGTCGTCACGAACATATCCAGGATACAGCGTTGTGGTTGGGACATGCCATGAGTTATTCAATTGAACGCCCCTGAGGGGGCAGACACCGCCGCCCCACTTTGTTTTTGGAACGCGGAGTTTGCGTGGGGGGCAAATCGGGATGTAGCGGGGGTGTTCACCCAGCTTTGGCTGGGCTTTGTCAGTAATCTCTTCGTGCTGTGGGTGTGTACCTCCTCTCACCCGCGCCTCCGGCTGGTCATGCCGAGCCCTGTGCTTGCGTCCATGCGCAGCGGACCTGCGCGGGGCCTCGACGTGGCTACAGGCCGGGGAAGGTACGACAGTAGGGAAGGTTCCCCCCCAGCTTTCTTGGACAATAAGGTCTCAGAGGGCCTGGAAAGATACGAAAGTGGGGTCTTAAAGACTCTCAGAAAGCCCCAAGAGAGCCGGAAAATGACATAAACAAGACGCCAGATTAGACAATATGGTCTCAGAGGGTCTGGAAAGATCCGAAAGTGGGATCTTAAAGGCTCTCAAAAAGGCCCAAGAGAGCCCGAAAATGATTTAAAAAGACGCCAGAAAACCCTAAGAGAGCCTGAACATGATTTTAAAAGGACGCCTGAGGATGTGCAAAAGTGTGGACGAAAGGAAGAGGCATACGGAGAGGCGTACAGCCGAGTTGTGGTTGGGACATGCCATGAAGTTATTCAATCGCTTCGCTCATTCCGCCGGCCCATACTGCATGATCGTTACTGCTTCGCCGTGGGCTCGGGGCCATTGTGGCGCCGCCGAGGAGGAGGAAGATGAGGATGGGGACGGGGAGCCGCCGAGGAGGAGGAAGATGAGGATGGGGACGGGGAGGGGGGGAGGAGGAGAGGATGAGAAGGAGAGGAGGAGGATGAAGATAAGTAGGAGGAGGAGGGGGAGGAAGAGGAGGGGGCGGAGGAGGAAGCCTCTCGTTGGCATCTTGTGTTGTCGTCGTCAATCTGCTTCTTTGGGAGGCCTCTTGGGGTCTTTTGAGAAGCCATTCAGGGGCGCCTGGGATGCATTTTTGAAGCCTTTTGGGGCCTCTTGAGGCCTCTTGGGGCCTCTTTGGGCCTCCTGGGGGCCTCCTGGGGCCTCTTGGCGGCATCTTGGGGCCTCGTGGGGGCCTCTCGGGGCCCCCTGGGGCCCTCTTGGGGCGGAAGGCTCGAGTTTTCGGTTCGTGGTCCCCCTCTTGGGACCCTCTTGGGGCCGTCTTGGGGCTCGCGTGGGCCGTCTTGGGCGCCTCTTGGGCCGTGTCGGGGCCCTCTTGGGCCCTCTTGGGCCCTCTTGGGGCCCTCTTGGAAACCTCTTGGCCCGTCTTGGGGCGCTCTTGGGGGCCTCTTGGGCCGTCTTGGGGCATCGGAAAGCCGAAAAGGCGACAAGGCCAAAGTCCTTGCAAAACCATAGTCAAATTTATGATTTTGGCCGCTCGGAGCCCTCTTGTGAGGCCTCTTGGAGGCCACTTGGAGGCCTCTTGGGCCGTCTTGGGGTCATCTTCGGCGTCTTGGAGCGCTCTTTGGGCGTCTGGGGGGCCTCTTGGGCAGTCTTGGGGGCCTCTTAGCGCGCTCTGGGGGGCTGAGAGGCCTCGCCCAGGAGGAGAACCATCTCTGAGTCGGACCTTGCCGGGGTACTTTCCGTCCGTGGACCCCCAGGGGCAGCCCCGCGCGCACGAATTAGAAATATTGTTAACCGGTTACCGGAGATCTTAGCACGCCTTTGGCCCGTTGGGCCGGCGAACTTAGAGTCCACGTGCCATTGAGCCCCGTCGGAGCGTCGGAGGACGTGCACATTTATTGCATACCCCGTCCCCCTCATTCCTGACCTTATCGGCCAGGAGCCCATAGTACGTTGACATGCTGTCAGGATTTGTGGCGTGACGTCGGGCCGATGACAGAAGGCTGGTGGTGTTGGACGTGACTGGGATGGCGCTCGCATGTTGATGTGGAGACTGTCTTCGCACGTGGCTTGGGCGTAAAAATAACAGGCCGAATAAATAACACTTTCACAACAAATAACCCTTCGGAGCCCCCCGTGGACTTCAGAAAGTTTCTGTTTGTGCGTCTTTCTTCTTCAAACGGGGAGGCCAGGGAATACAGCTGGCACGAAGGTTAAGAACAACCCTCGTTTTGGATGGGCACCCTCATGTGATTCGTGTCTTGGCTGCGCAAGAATTTAACATCCTTCGCTCTTGGCATCTCCTTGGGACCCTCGGGAGTCAGCGAGGGCGATCATGTTCCTCACCCTCGCTCTTGTGGCCTTGTTGCTTGGTAACGCTCGGATGTGTGCATTTTTTCTCGGCGAGGACCATCGAGAAGCATCCTGGACCATCTGGCAAACAAAAGCATGCACGAAGCCGAACCATTCACGGGGAATCGACGTCTGAGCTACGACAAGCTCTCGAGTGTGTGAAACGCAAGCGCATCTCAGTACATTCGTGAAGCACAATGCGCCCACCGGGATTGCCCACCCCGACTGGCGCGTGCGGTACGCGGCGGTCATCGCCCTGCAGCAGATGGGCCTCGCCACGGAGAGGCACAGGGTCAACCTGCTCCAGCTGACGCGAGACGAGAATGCGGAGGTCCGGAAGGCCATCCATGTTGTGCGTTTCCTTTCCGTGGGCGTCGCGTCATGGGGGGGGGGGCGATCAATGGTGGGGGCAGCGAGGGCTGCCGACGAGGGGCCCTTCAGGCTCCTAGAGAGGCTCTCTAAGGCCCCAGACGGGGGCCTTTCGGGCCCGAACAGGGCACCTCTCTCCCCATCCCCATTGAAACGCCCTCCCACGGATTCGCGCCCGAGGGTTTCCTTGGCTCGCCACGGTGGAAGCCCTCGGTCCTGGGATCCTGGCGCCGCAGTGGTTTCACAACGGGCGGTGTTGCCTTGTTTTTCGGGCGCCGGGAGCCATCACGGATTCGATCCGTTGTAAACGCTGTTTTGCTGGACTTCGGCTGTGTTTTGTTTTTCGTTTTGGGAGGGAGGTAAAGGAAAACAGATAGAGCAGAACGAAGCACGAAACGAAAACAAAACGAACAATAACGTTTAAGGTCCAGCCCTGAGTGCAGCAGGAGCATCAGGTCCAGGTTTCGGGTCGAGCTTGCTTTGCGAGTTTGCGGTTTGTTCCGTGAGGTCGAATCTCAGGAAACGGCTTGCCATGAAGGAAGCGGGTTCTGAGGGAGACGAGCCCTGAGGTTTCTCCTTCTTCACGGCATCCCGGGGCCCTCAACCAACACGGCTCGGGACAGAATGTTGCTGGCCCTGGTGAACCCCAAGCCCAAGGGGCCAGGACTTTTTCTTTAAGGCTTGGTCTCTCCTATGACTAGGACTGTTGAAAGTTTCAGGGGTTGCGGTGTGATCTGCGCTTCAACGGGCCAGCTCAAAATCTGGAGCCTCCATGACTGGTCCTGGCATGCCAGAGAGATTCACGGGGTGGGAGAAAGACCAAGCCGGGTCTGGTTTGGGAATGGAACCAACAATGAGTTCGTTCATTTTGGATTGGGTGAGCAAGCCATGTGGTGGAAGCTTGTTTTTGTAACAACTGTATTCGTGAAGGCGGCAATTCCAATGCTTGAGCAAACAACACACTCGCCCATTGGCACCTTGTTGGCAACACCAAATTGGTATAGTGACGCGAGCGTCTTCCTGATGCAGATCCACGATTCGGGCGGACGAGTGATGATGGTGACGGTGAAGTCGATGGCAGTGCCGATTGATGATGCTGGTGATGGTGGTGGCGTTGATGACGGCAGCCACGACAACAACGATGCCGATGATGATGATGATGATGATGACAGTCCTGGTGATGACGCCGACGAAAGTATTGGTGATGATAGTGGGTCTGATCATCAGACTCTGATGACGGTGGCCATGATGAAGCTGGTGATGATTATGACGGCGGGGTTGGTGAGGTTAACGAGGAAGTGCGCGCACAATGAGTTCGTTTTAATCTTAAGCTTGTAATCGTTGGACAGATCGTGTTCTGCCGCTGCTGGCAGAAAACGGGGGGGGGGGGTCACTGGGTGGGGGTTTCCAATCCGTTTCCCCCCCCTCGAAACTTGGGAGGGGTCATTACCGGTTCGAGCCCCCCCCTTTGGGTCTGTCATGCAAAGGGGGGGGGGTCACTACCAGTGCGAACCTCCCCCCCACTCCTCGCCGCCGGCAAAAGATTCCCGCTCCCCTCGGGATTGGGACAGTGGTGGGGACAGTGGGACAGTGATGGGGACGGTGGAGGTGGGGACAGTGGTGTGTGGGGACAGTGGGACAGAGGCGGGGACAGTGGGGAGGGACAGTCAGTGGTGGGGACCGTGGTGGTGGGGACAGTGGTAAGGGGACAGTGGGGCAGTGGTGGGGACAGTGGGGACAAAAGGCAGTGTTGGGGAAGGTAGTGGTGGGGACAGTGGTGGGGGCGGTGGTGAGGACGGTTGTGGGACCATGGGACAGTGGGGACAGTGGGGAGAGTGGTGGGGACAGTGGGGACAGTCTGACAGCACAGTGGGACAGCGGTGGGGACAGTGGGACAGTGGTGGAGACAATGTGGACAGTGGAACAGTGGTGGGGGGCAGTGGGGACAGTGGGGAGAGTGTGACCGTGGTGGGGACATGGGGACATTGGGGACAGTGAGACAGTGGTGCAAATGGTTGAAACGTGGGCACAGTGGGACAGTGGTGGGGACAGTGGGCACAGTGGGACAGTGGTGGGGGAGGTGGTGATGGGGACAGTGGTGTGGGGACAGTGGGGAGAGTGGTGGGGATAGTGGGGACAGTGGGACCAGTGTTGGGGACGGTGGTGGTGGGGACAGTGGTGAGGGCGGTGGTGAGGACAGTGGTGGGACAATGGGACAGTGGTACAGTGGGGACAGTGGTGGGGACAGTGGAGACTGGGACAGTGGTGGGGACAGTGGGACAGCTCAATGGGACAGCGGCGGGGACAGTGGGGACAGTTGGACAATGGTGGGGAACGTGGGACAGTGGTGAGGACAGTGGGGACAGTGGGAAGAGTGTGACCGTGGTGGGGACAGTGGTGGGGACAAAGCGGCTGCGTGAACGGTTGTGACGTGCGCGTGGGAGGGCGCGCGCGCGCGCGTGGCCCGCAGGGGGCAATTTGATGCGGACGTACTGCAATGCTGCAGTGGGCTCAAAGCGGGCGCACGGTGCATGCAATGCTCTTTGGCAGTGAGGAGGGGGTGGGTCGAAATACGTGTGGCACTAATCAGCGCGTGAAATACCTACCCCGCTTTCGCTTCCAGGCACAACCAAGTCATACCACGCGCCTCCTCGTCAAGCGGCCTGACCAGTACAGGTAGTTTGGCATCGCTTGGTATCTCTTGGAAGCGAGGGTGGTCAAAAGCGAGGTAGGTTTGTTTGCCCCCTAACTCTGCGATGCTGCAACTTGCATAGGTTTCATACAGAGGGTCGTTCAGCCCGCATGGGGGGTAAAGTAGGGCGTCAGATTCTTGGAAAGAGAGAACCTTTGTGGTTTGTGGTGCCAGCTATGTGGTTGACGCCAAGTGGTTGAAGTTGTTGGGTAAGTCATGCGGTGCAGGCTATGTGGCTCAGTCCATGTGGTGCAGGCTGTGTGGTGCAAGCTTGCTGCAAGCAGTGTACGTCTTGCAACCTGTGTAGTCTAGCGTGTGCTGTACGAGCTACGTGGTCGAACCTATGTAACGTAAGCTGCGTGATGCAACCTGCGCGCGAGGCGCGAGGCGCTCACGGTCGGCGAACGGGCGAAAAGCCAGGAACGCATGCCAGCACAAGAGGCGCCAACAGGCGGCGATTGGACGAAAATTTGGGAGCGCAGGCAGTCGATTCAGAACAGAAGTAACAGCCCCGAAGTGCAAGCTCGGTTTGGGAAAGCTGTGCCATCGTAAATGTCGTCCTTGTTCTACACCGTTTCGTCTGGCAATCGTGCCTTCTCATTCGGCACAGGCTTTCGTCTCTTCGACCTGCCGCCCTGGAGTAAGTGCCCCGCTCTCTGTACAAGGCGCATGCGAGATAGGATTCGCATGGGGCGCGGTGAACCGCCTGGAACGCGACCCATCCATCCACAGCGACCGAACTTGGGAAGTGGTAGTGTTGTGCTACGTGGATGGTTCGCTAGTTTTTGACATTGGACCCATGAGGAAAGGATGATACGTGTCAGTGCACCACCCGAGATGTATGCAGCAGCGGTGGGGCGCAGGGTCCATGGCATCGATGATGGTGACGAGTCCTCTTCGTGCGTGCACGGTGCACAATCTACTGAGGTGGCGAACACGTTTTGGACGCCGAAAGACGGGGGCTTGACCTACAAATGGGTGGACACGAGGCCGCAGTGGAAGTTGAACTACTGGAAAAAGAAGCGGAAGTACAACGGAAAGAGTTGAGCGCAAAGCGAAGCCGTACAGCTTCTGGCCACGTTTTGCCCAGGGCTAGGGTCGGCGGCGAGCGAGGGGAGGAAGTGAGAGGGTGCGGGCCCTCTCAGAAGGCTCGGAAGTCCCCCAGCCTTCTGAGACGTTTGCTGAGCCTTCCCCGACGACGCAGAAGACTTCTCAGAAGGCGCGAGGGCTTCTGAGAAACCCCGCCGCCTTCGGAGAAGGCCTTCTCCTTACAGTTTCCCCCCCCCTCGCTCGCCGCCAATAGGGACCGCCAGAGCGCACCAGCGGCTGCCAGGACCCGCGCGGGAGGCGGAGACGACGCTGCCTCGGCCAGGGCGCCACGAGCGCCCGTTGCCGTCCACCGTGCGCCCCTCCGCTCGCCCAGCGCCTCCGAGGCGCGCGGCTCCCCCGGCGCCGGGCGCCTGTGCAGTCGCAGCTGCGGCCGCCTCCACAAAAGCCAGGAGGCCTGCTCCTCCGGCAGCTTCTCGGGGGCGGCAAAGAGGGGGGTGATGACTAGGGGGGGGTGGATCTCATAGCGTGGGTCATGAGATTTCCCCAGATCTCATAGCGCCTCTTCTTACTTCATTACGTCCCTGGCCCCCCTCTTGGGCCGCGCACATGCCGCCAGCCATGATTTGCACCCCCCCATCTCGGACGCCCCCCTCTTGGCCGCCCCCGAGCTTCGGGGCTCTAGAGACGGGGGTCAATGCAAACGAGGGTCAGCCAGAGCGCGGGATCTTGCAGGAGCCTGCAGGGCCAGGGTCGCATCGACCCGGGTTTGGGTGCAGCTTCCTGCAGGGTCCTGCAGGATCCTGCAGGGCCAGGGTCGCATTGACCCGGGTTTGGGTGCAGGATCCTGCAGGGTCCTGCAGGCCCTGATTGACCCGGGCCTAGATCTGGCCAGAAAGTCAGACGATCCCCGGCAGTTGTTCCTCCCCTTCGCGCCCGCTCCCTCCTTCGGTAGCAGATCATGGGAGGCTTGTATACCCTCGCGTCTTTGGCGTCGATGAGCGTCGATGAACGGCTGGCAATCGATGAGAGAGCGCCGATTTAGCGTCGGCCAGCGTCGATGCTCGTCGATGTTGCAGCGGGCAGCGTCGATGTAGCGTCGACGAGACTCCTTTCGCAGGAGCCGACAGGATGGTACGGGCGGCTCCCACGAGTTGCCACCGAACCCTCTCTAACTCGGGGAACGAATAATGACATAAACATAAAAACTCGGAGGTCCGCGCGGATTTCTCGGATCGGCGCTGGACCCCCTTCCGTGGCGCGCGGACCGCGCCAGGGGCGGCGCCGGAGGCGCCGCCGAGGGGCACCAGCGCCGATCCGAGAAATCCGCGCGGACCTCCGAGCTTTTATGTTTATGCAACTTTTTGTTCCCCTACTACCTCACCTCGCACGGCCCGCCGAGAAACACATCGATCTGGGCCGTCGACTCTCTTGGGCCGGCGGTGAGGGGGGGGCCCCGGCCAGTGGGGGCTTGCAGTGGCGCGTGCGGAGGGGCACGCACGGCAGAGCGCAGGCGGACGGTGCACCTCCAGATCGCGCGGAGGGGGTCGCGCTCAGCGCGCGATGCTCCAACCTGGCTGTGCAGGGTGCGCTCTGGGCGCTTCCTCCTCCTCCTCCTCCTCCTCCTCCTCCTCCTCCTCCTCCTCCTCCTCCTCCTCCCCCCGCGCGGCCGCCCTCGTCATGTGTCCTCCCTCTCGCACGCCGGACAAGTTGCCTTGCGGCGGCCCTGAAAAGCCACAGGCTGGAGCGGACTGCCTCTGCCTCGCCGCCGACGGAAAGATATGTATGATGCGCGCGGTGCTGCGTGTGTCAGGCATCGCGTTTCGAGATTTGTGTTGCCGTCGGGCGCCCACTGCCAGATTCGTGCTTCGGGTTGGTGTCTTCTGTAGCAAGTCATGGGAGCCTTGGTTACCCTCGCAATTATGTCTGCAGAGTGTACTGGCCTTGTCCAGCTAGCGTCTGGTGATCCGTGAGATAGCGCCTCTTTAGCACGGATTAGCGTCGGTTAGCGTCAATTCGCGTCGGGTTAGCATCGGCTGGCGCCGATTAGCGTCGACCAGCGTCGAGTCGCAAGAGCCAGCAGGATGGCATGGGAGGCCCCCGTGAACTGCCGCAGAGGGGTGTCCGCTCTGGTGCCGCATCCTGCAGGGCCCCAGACGGGATGGCCCGCACGCCCTCCCCCCAAGACGGCATCCCAGAACGACCGCCCCCCAAGACGCGCCGCCCGCCCCCCCCCCCCCCCCAGACGGCCCCCAAAGACAGACTGGCGCTTGCCTGGGATGTTGATGTCTTCTATGGCATGCGCGTTGTGCCAACACGACGGCAGACTGTCGATTGACCGACCAATTCCCCAGCCAGCGCTCGCAATCGAGGGGTCCTAGCGGATGTTGAAAGATTAGGCGAAAGTTCTGGGCCGATTTCGGTGGCCGGCAGGGTTCCCGGGTTCCCAGTTGCTGGTTCCGAGTCGATTTCGGTGGGTTATTGGGTTTCCGGATGCCCGGCCGATTTTCTTATCGATCTTTTGATCGATGCCACGATCGAGCTTGTTATCGATCGCATGATCGATCTCACTATCCATCTTATTTAATCAATCACTATCGGTATTACGATCGATATCATGATCGGCTGTCGATGTGTAGTCGATCTTCCAATCGATCTTACGATCGACTACGGATATCACTATCGAGCTCACTATGGATCTCACTCAAACGACCTCGCTACTGGTCTCGCTGTCGATCTCACGATCGATTGTTCTATCGATCTCATTGTCGATATCGCTATCGATCGCACTTACGATCTCACATCGATCTCCTTATAGACGTTCTATCTCACGATCGATTTCACTCAATCGAGTTCACTATCGGTCTCGCTATCACCCTTACTATCGTCCTCACTACCGACCTCACGAGCGATCTGTCAATTGATATCAGTATACATGTCACGATCGAACTCACTAACAATCACACTATCGATCTCACTATCGATCTCACTTTTGATCCCACTGTCAATCTCACTATCCAACCACGGGGCAGCAAGGGCAGATTTCGGTATACTATGTTTTCGTCGTAAGGGATCCATAGGTACAGATGAAACATACGAACAGGGAGCATACAGTCAAGATAATGAGCAGTTCCCAGGGCCGATTTCGGTAGGCGGCCATGTTCCCGGGCTCCCTGCTCCCGGTATCCCAGCTTCTGGTTTTGGGCCGGTCAATGCTTGTATCGATGTCGTGATCGATTTGATACTATCGATCTCATGATCGACCTCACGATCCGTCTCCCTCAGTCGACGTCATTACCAATCTCGGCATCGATCGTGGAGACGTAGGCGAACGCCCAGCCCCCGCCCAGCACGGCGATCTCAGCAACAGCCCGGGGGTTCCCCCGCCTTGGGTTAGGCCAGGCCCAGCACGCCCGGGCCCAGCACGGCGACGTCACGGCATGGGGTAGTTACCCCCTGCCTTGTTGCCAGGAGGGGAACAGCACACACAGACACAATGAATCGCCGATTCTTAAGAACATGTTGGAAAAGATGGGAAGCGTGGCGGAAGACGAAAACCCAGAAGATGTGGGAGAATATGGGGAATCCTGTTGCGTGTGTTTGTTTATTTGTGTGTCCCAGAGCCCCTTCATTTTGAGCGGGGGACTCCGACTCTGGGCCCCACAGCATTGGATTTTGCATGTCAACGTTCCACGAGTGTGGCGAGTGTCGTAATCAAGTGTGGGCGCCCGGAAAGAGAGGCCACTGCCAGCTGCCGCAGGCAGGGGGGGCGGGTGTCCCGCGCGCGCGCGGTCTAGCTGGTCTAGCTGATCTCTAGAGCTCCTCCATGTGGGGGGCGGGGGGGTGGTTTTCATGCGGTCCGCTCGGATGGGATGGTATACGCCCTGTGGGGCCTACTTCAACCCCCCCGGGCCTGCGAGCCGACGCCCCCGACCCAGGCCGCAGGGGAACGCGCAAACGCCTCAGCTGGCCGCGCCTGGCCGCCTCCGCGGGCGGGCGCGCGCAAGGCGACGGCGCTGTGCTTCACCCGGCTAGCCCGGCCCATCCCAGCCCAGCACGGCGACGTAGCAAAATGTCAAACGACGCGAAGATGGGGACAAAATCGGATCGGGATAACTCGAAATCTCTGAGAATCGGCGGGTTTGGAGGATGTATTGGGCGCCGCGGCCGCCCCAGAGCGTTCCGGAACGCTCTGAGAGCGCTCCGGAACGCTCTGGAGCGATTTATTCCGATCCTAGCCCTGTTTTAAAATGGGGCCCCCCTGGCGTCCGCCGAGGGCCCAGCCCACCACGGCGATTTCACAGAGTGGGCTACCCTGGGCATCGGCTCGCCAGCCCAGCCCGCCCCAGTCCAGCACAATGTTGTAGCACAGTGGTGGAGGTTGTGGAGGAGGATCATCAGCATGTGGAGGAGGAAAAGAGGAGGAGGAGGAGGAGGAGGAGGAGGAGGGAGGAGAAAGAAGGATAATCAGAAAGCTGACGAGGTACGAGGAGGGAGGAAGCGCTGAGCACCTAAACGCCGCCCAACCCCGACCCAAGCCGGCGAATTGACAAAATGGGTTCCCCCAGGCTTTAGTTAGCCAAACCGGCCCACCCTAGCCCAGCACGGCGATTGAACAAAATGGAGCCCCCCTGGATTGGACCGACCAGCCCGGCCCACCCCAGTCCAGCACAGCTTCTTAACACAATGGAGGATGATAAGGAGGAGAAGCAGGGCCGTATTGAGCTGTCAACCGGCCTTCTGAAGTTGTCTAGCTTGGAGGTTATTTCGGCCGTTTCGAACCGACACATGCCCGATAAGGCGAGAACGCCACAACCCGTATAAAATATTCAAAGAATCCGTATTCAGGGCTTATTTGAGCCTTACGGGGAAATTGCGGCCAGGCATGGTACCTGCCAAATCTTCGAACCATCCACTGATTGGGTTTTTTTCTCGGGTGTAATGCTAATGTGATCCGCGAGCCAAGCGACCGACCAGCCAGCCAATTGACGAACTTCCAATTCCAAGTGCTTTGTTCAGCGTAATTTTGTGTTGGCGGTGATCGGCGCAACAAGATATTGGCAATTCCTCAAACGAGCACGAGTCGGGGAACCTGACTGGGGGGGGGGACCTAGCTGGGAGCCTTGCATAACAGAACCTGTGGGGGGGTCGAACTATATAGTTTCGGGGCGGCTTGGCGTCGTGAGGGTGTGGAGTTGGAGTCCACGGGTTGGGAATCTACGGGTGACGGGGGAACCCGCGGGGGAGCCCACGGATGAACGCGCGTGGCGCTGGGGGGGGATGCTTGTGCGGGAGCGCGCGGGCGGGGTTGGGGGGAGGGGGGAGGGCAAGGGGGGCGGGGGCGGCGTGCCGATCGGGGGGGGACTGGGGGCTTCAGATCTCGCCATTTGCTCGTGTTTTACGGCTGAGATCTAGATCTCGCTTAGAAAACATTAGCAACTGGCGAGATGTCGCCTGAGATCCCGCCATTTGCTTGTGTTTTACAAGTGAGATCGAGATCTCGCCTAGGAAGCACCTGGGGGAAGGGGTGGGGGGGGGGGGGGGGGGCATTCTGTGTGGATGGGGTGGGGCCCGTGGGGGACCTACGAGGGCCCCGCTGGGGGAAGCGAGGGGGAACCCATAGAAGGGGCAGGGTTAGGGGGAACCAGATGGCGAAACCCATGGAGGGGAACTGCGGGGGAGCTTCCCACGAGCAAGTGCGCAACCCATATACTCCTATAACGGCAGCTGGCAGAAGCTTGGTCTGATGTGGTGCCGTTTCTATCTCCGTATGTCCCTCCTTCCCTCCATCTCTCTCTTTTTGTTGCTATCTCTCTTTCTCTCACTCTTTCTTTTGTTATGCCATTCTCTCTGTTATACTGTGCACCTGCACCCACAGTGCACTTGCAGGCCAGTCAAGCCAGCCAAGGCAACCAACAAACCAGCCAGCCCACCAACAGTACCTTCGCGGGCCCGGCGGGGCGCGAGCATCTCGACCCGCGGGCGAGCAGGCGCAAGCACCTGCAAGCGCGCGCGCGAGTGTCATTGCAAGTACTTGCGATGTGCCGCTTTTTATCGCAGCACGAGTGCGTACTGGTGCTTACCTTGGGCCTCGGGCAGGAAAGATCAGAGGAGGAAAAGGTACCCATACCTGTACCCCCTCGCCCGTTTTCCCCTTTTTGGGGCCTCCCGGGAGGCCCTCGTCGCCACCGCTGGATTCGCCTCGAAACTCTAGTCAGAACGCACCCAGGGAGAGGTCCGGGGAGTAGCGGTATGGGTACCTCTTGGCTTCCCCAACAGAAGGAAACCGAGTGCATACACTGAGTACGTACCCTGAGCCTTGGGCGGTAAGTTAAATGAAGCCAGGTGCATGCAGGCTGTGCGTGCGCTCGCAGAGGTCATCGAGTCCTCGCGCTCGATCGCGAGTGCGCTTGTGACTTGCACCGTCTGTGCAGGTACACGAATGGTTCATCCACCACGGCGAAGTGGGCTGCATACCACAATCGGCACACTTGCACTGCAGTTGGCGAAGGCCTTCAGTCACAGCAAGCCCACGAAGCTGTCGCGTAGGCCAGCTGAAACCCATTTTGGCATTCTGTAGCCACCATCCCAGACCCCCGAC